TTTTCGCTTTGTCTTGCGTGGTCATGAACAAGAGGAGGGTCTGTGAGTTTTTGATTCTCATATAGGCGGGAGAGAGCATCAGTTAAATAGTTCGTTCTTCCAGGGGTATAGATGATTTTTGCATCGTATTTGCTGATCTCGCCTATCTATCTTGTTCTTCTCCTTCCAGGTACCTTTTCTGTCTTAAGATTAGTGAGAGGTTGGTGGTCAGTAACAATGGTGAAGGTATTGCCCATCAGAATGTGATTAAAAGCAGCAAGAGCATCAATCACAGCAAGGGCTTCCTTGTCTGTTGTTCCATAGTTCATTTGTGAATTAGTGAACTTCCTGCTGTGTAATTCCACTGGTCTTGCTGTTTCATGAGAGGCTCCTTGTCCAACCCATGCTCCAACTCCAATGTCTGAGGCATCAATAATTAGCCATATCGGATCCAGTTTACTGTAGTCAATAGGTCGTATAACATTGGTGTTTTTAATCAATTCCTTGATGTTTGTAAAGGCTTTGTCATGAGTGTGGGTCCAGACAAATTCTGCATTGTCAGTAAGGTCTATGAGCAGTGCTGTCACAGTGGCGTGGTGTGGTAGGAACTGGGAGATATAGTTGACTAGTCCTAAGAATCGCAGGAGTTCCTTTTGATTTTGGAGTGTTGTCCATTCAGTTAAACAGGATATCTTTCCGGCCGCTGCGTGTATTCCTTCATCATCTATCACATGTCCAAGGATATCGAGCTTATCGGCAAACAGGATTGATTAGTTTGTACTAGCGTAGAACTTAGCTTCTCTTAGTTTGGTACAAACCAAACCTATATGGTAAACATGTTCTATTTTGGAGTTCGAGAAGATGAGAATATCATCAATGTAAACCCAGACAAAATCGTGGAGGTATTCGCTTAGGAGATTTTCCATAATTCACATAAAGGTGGCGGGCATATTCATATCAACTTGCAACATAACTCGGCTAATAAAACTTCCCAAGTGTGTTTTGAAACTGTTATAGCATTCAGATTCCGGATCTAACCTTGTTTGGAAATAGGCATTGCTTAAGTCAATCTTGCTTCAGAATCTAGCCCGTCCTACAGCATTCAGGATTTGAGTTTGATTTGGGATAGTGGAGCTGTCCATACCTGTGTTTTTATTCTGTAGTTTGAGGTCAACCAAGGGGCAGATTCTTTTACCATCTGCTTTGGGTTGAACAAATATAGGAGCAGCACCTGGAGCTTCTGCTCGGTAGATGACTCCTCTTCTTTGTTGTTGGTTGATCCAGTCACATAGTGGGTTTTTTTATACATCAGGGATTGAGTAGGTGGGTTGGTTTTTAAGATTAGAGGGGTCTCGGAGACAGATGTGATGGTTCACTTCTCTCATAGGCGGTAGTTCTTCGGGGATCTGATCAAGGAAAATATCAGAGTATTTATCCAATAGGCATTGGGCAGTTGCTTCACAGACATCGGCGGCTCGGTACTCTCTGCTTGTTGGCTTGCAAGAAACTCTGACCTTCTGATCTGGGAAATCGATAGTTGAGTCCCCACATCTGATTATAGCTTTGTAGTGGTTCAGGAATGGCATTCCTATTAGGCTATAGTATTTGGCTAGATTTCCAACTAGCATCTCCTGGGGAGGTAGAATGGCAGAACCAAGTCAAATAGTTGCGCTACAGGTTTTATGGCTTGTTGATAGTGACTCTTTTACTGCTATATTGACTAGTATGGGCTGGTTAAGGTCTTGAGTTAGGAGTCCATGGAGAGAGACAAAGGCATTGCTGATCATATCTCTTCCAATTATGCCAGTATCGAATAGGATGCATGCCTTCTTGCCATTGATCAGGATAGTACCTTCTAGGATGGTGTGTATTTTGAATGTAGCAGGAGGTCAGACACTATTGTATTCCACATCGATATATCCGATATGGATCTCCTCATATTCACTGGATTGGGTATCATCACTATCGCTCTCAACATTGTTGGCTGATGCTTCTTACTTAATCGCCTTTCCTTTCCCTTTCTTCGTAGGGCAGTTCTTTCCCATATGTCTTATTTTTCCACATTCGAAACATTCTTCTTTCTGTCGTTGTGATTCTTTGGAGGATTTTGATTGCTTTTTGAAAACCCGTGGGGTATCTTCTTCAGAGTTGTTGGAGGGCTTGTATTGTAGTTGTCTATTACTATTAGAGGATAACTGTTTCTTGTATGCCTTAGTTTCATGGAGGATGGCATTCTTTCATTCTACTCTTGCAATTATTATTGCAATATCATCATTGTCTTCCTCGAGTGGTTCTACCTCTTGCCGGAGGGTAGGATGCATAGTGTTATAGAATCATCACTTAAGGATGTAGTTAGAAATGCTTCTGTTATTCATTCCGTCCTTATACATCATTAAATCAGTAGCTACATCTGTGATTCTCTTAACATGCATTCCGTTATCTTGCTGGAGCTGGTTGAATTTGTTGCATAGGAGGTCGTTGGTGTTAGAGGATTGGAATTGGCCTTTCAGGTAATCGAGAACAGTGGATCTTCTTAATCTTACATTTCTGCCATAATCCTTATAGCATTTTTAGTATGTGTCGGTTGCCTTTCCTTCACAGAATGATCCAATGTATAGTCCAGTTGTAGGATCTTCCACATCTTTCCCTTGTAGGAGAAGGTAGTGTATGAGTTCAGTCGCCCATCGATCAAAAGCTTCAGGTTTGAGGTCTTTTCCTTCTCCTGTAAACCTTTCTGGGAGGTGGAGTTTGAACTTAGGGAGTTCAAATACTGCAGGTACTTCCTCTTCTTCAGGTTGAGTCTGAGATTTTCCTCCTCCTAAAGGCCCTCCACCTGTAGTAGCCATGTCTGATTCGCTACTAGATTCAAGGTCTATTAGAGGTTCAAAGGAAGGCTTCTTTGCTGAAGTAGAAGAGAATTCTCCTGGAGGTTGTGTGTCTTCCATGTTTGCAGGTTCTCCAGGCTTCTTAGTAGAGTGCCGGGGTTGCTTCTTTCTTGTAAGGTCTTGTCGTGGTATTTGCTTCCCACTCCTGGTTGTCAAAAACTCTATGTTGGATTTGAGACGAAGACGAATGTGCCGTGATTCTGCCACTTCTCTCCGCTAGTGTTCTAAGGTGGATATCGATAGGTTGATCAGGCCTAAATCCAGGGACAGGTTCTTAACCACTTGCTGAGGTTAAAAAATTGTAACGTGTTCGCAAGGTGCTAATCACTTTATTGGTAATAGATATGATAGTTGGTAGGTGGCCTGCTCTTCAGAGAGGAGGTGAGAGCTGAGAACTAAAGGAGGCTTCGAGGGTGTTCTGGGGAACAAAGAAGTAACCGTTCAACTAAGTATATTGAAATACTGTCTGTCGAAGTCTGCTTTTTCTATTGTAGAAATGGGCGGTCTTTAAATACACAAATCTGTTCATGTCTAGCATGAACGAAACTAATCAAAGATATCAATCGATACACTTTGGTGAAACTAATTAAGTATCAAAGCAATACTTAAACTAAACATAAAATAAAACCCAGTATCAAATAATACTTAAAACTAACCAAGTATCAAAGTGATACTTAAAACAAAACATAAAACAAAACCAAGTATCAAAGCGATACTTAAAACAAAACATAAAACAAAACCAAGTATCAAATGATACTTAAAACAAACCAAGTATCAAAGCGATACTTAAAACAAAACATAAAACAAAACCAAGTATCAAATGATACTTAAAACAGACCAAGTATCAAAGCGATACTTAAAACAAAACATAAAACAAAACCAAAAACCAAGTACCTGTACCGGTTCCAGTCTTCCTCTATTGTCTTTTATTTACAAATATGAAATTCTGGATATCCTTCCAGAAAGTGCTTACTCCAGACTTCACTGATTGTTGGCAGGGGGTTTGTGTTCATAACACTAGAGTGATTTCTTCTGAGAATATTGCATGCGCATCCAGTAATTATGGAAAGACGAGCAGATGTTTCAATTATATCAAGACATTTTAAATACAAATAGATGGCAAGCTCAGCTGTTTCTGAGAGCTTTCTATTAACTGCTGGCCACTGCGCTCTCATTTGATGGCCTTTTACTTGTGTGTCGAGGCGTTTCTCAGGAACACTGAATTCCTTTGCAATAGTGGCAATATTTGGTTTCTCACATTCTGATGCCTTCAAACATGCTTCCTCAACTCTAGCTTCTATTTCATTATATTTTTCAGATATTTCTGGTTTTTTTGGTGGGGTAGAGGGGGGTTTGTAGGTAGGTGGACAGTAAAATTTGTCGTTGAGCTGAGCTGTCGGGCACTCTCTAGAAGAGAGTGCCCAAGTTGTGAAAGCAACGGTGGGTTGTGGTGGAGCCACAACCTTGGCACGGTTAGAGAGCTCCGGTATCGCAAAGGCTGGGCCCAATTGTGAGCGGAACGGCAAGTCGGCAATGCCATTGTCTGTCGGATCATGTGAGTAAAATTAAGGATGAGTCATATGGAATCACTGGTAGGGAGCCAAGGGAGGGATTTTCTGCCAGGTTCTCTCCAGACACCCCCACATATTTGCCGGACAGCGCTCCAAAGTCCTTGGATACTTGACGACGGTTAAAGTGATGGCTCGTGCTAGAGGCTTTGCCGATATGACTTGTATACAGTGCCTAGCTTGAGGGAGGAATATATACCAATGCACTTCTCGGAGGCGGGTAGGGAGGCGAGTGTTGCTCAAACTGGGATCAAAGGACATGGGTGGGGACACTGCAATGGTCTGCCTGGTGAAGGCGGGATAGGTACCGCCAGGATAATTTATTGGATTAATAGTCTGCCGCACCATTCGGTGGGAGTGGAACTAATGCTCAATTACTGTACAATATTTGGGGTATTCAACCCATGGCCCCTTCTAAGGTCGCTTCCCCAAAGTCTCTGAGATCTGTGTCATGTGTTTGGGGTACCCGGGGTAGGGCAATCAGCAAGGTTCCGCATGGCTGATATCCCACTCACTCAACCTAGGTTTCCTGGGTTGCCCACTCACTGGCAAGTGGGGGTTTTTGCTCAAAATTGGCATTGAATTGAAGGTTAGACTTTCGGCCCGGCATTACGTTGCTAGGTACAAAAGAAACACCAACTGATTGGTTCCACCCTTTCCAAGGCTGTTCTTGCAGTCATAACAAGGGGAAATTATTTCTACAGATAAAAAGAGAAAAAACGGGTTCGAAGGGAAGCGGGAAGGGAAAAAAAGGTAAAGAAAGAACCAAAAGCATCAAATTTGAGACTGAAAAGGTCGGGCATTTCCGATGGCAGATTACGAGATTCCTAGGGAAACGGGTAATAAAATCCTATAATGAAAAGAAAGAGAAGAACACTAAGCCGGCAACACCAGTCGCAAAGAGAGTCAAAGGTCCCAAAAACAAACGCAAAAGTACCACCCCCAAGTCTATGTCTGAACAGTCCTCTCCCCTGCCATGCAATCTCATCCAACTCGGTCCCACCGTCGCCACAATTCCAGTCCCTGGAAACATGCGTCTTTTCTATCCGTTAACCCATACGGCCGCACATCCTGAGATCCCCATTTTTATATTTTCCGGCGTCATCGAGAGTCCAGCTTAAACAACTATTGAAGAAGCGGTGCCTCTATAACATCTTTCTCCTTTGCTCCATATCACCCTCTGCAAGTGAAACAGCAGCCTTAACCATCTGAACAACATTGATCCATTGCTTCGCGGCGCAAATCGGGAAAGTGGCCATGGCAACTATCCACGGCCAAGAGTGGATTTCCGAGGAGAATTGCGGGAAACTAAGGAGGTACATTGCGAGGAAAAAGAGCTCATTTGCAGCGCAAAATACGAAAAGAATTTTCTGAGAAGAATGTTAGAGCGAGATCTCGGACAGAGGTAGGTGATTCGGGGTAAGAGGCTTTGGGGCTTACATTGTTGGAGTAATAAAGATTTAGGACTCGAGAGCGTTTCTTCTCTACTTTCTTGTGAGACCCTGCACCACGATCGAGAGATGCATACCTGTTGGTTCATTAGTTGTTTTATTCGGCCACATTGGTTGTGGAGCGATCGTCTAGACTTACATGTGCATATAATGACTAGCCAAATCTAAACTGATGAGTCCCTGGAACAAGATTGCCCATTTCGGATAAGCCGAAGACAAGAAACAGAGCAAACAACTGGTAGTACAACGGTCCGTAACCATGTCCAATACAGCGCCGAATTTGGTCGACTGAGAAAATTTGCGAGCGGCATAACCGTCCAGAGCATCCAAGAGACAAGAAAAGGAATAAAGGATTGTACAATAGTGCGGGTGATAGGACATGTAATATAGCGAGGCACCAGCGAGAAGAATTCGAGAGTATCCTGAAATCCAAATATTAGAACTCGTTTTGGATCAAAAATTATTTTAGGACGGAAGAACCTCAGTACCTATCAGGTTTGGGATGAATAGGAATATATTCTCTGGTCGAGGCTCTGCGGACTTTGCCGGCGAGGTTGAATGTCGTGTGGGTGTGTTTGACTTCGGCATGTTTGCTGGGTTGGTTAGACGAAAGCTCGGGAAGATTCGGGTGATGCAGTAGTAGCTAAACGAAGCACCTGGACGAGAATTGGAAGAAGAGGGAGGATAGACGAGGGATCGGTGGGGTGAGGATAGGGGATGAAGCAGGAAAAGGAGATTCGAGGGCGTCAGGGTTAGGGGACCAATCCCGTAGCTTGAGAGCTGAGACTGGTGACGCGAGCACACGACTGATGACCGAAAGCGCGATGAGCGTCAACAGTAGTTTGGACCGAAGAAGGCTAATGGGTAGTGGATGACACAAAGGGCAAAGGATCGTGGGGGATAGTGAGGATTGGGAGTTGCGGAGAGCATGGGGAGGGGTACTATAGGAGGAAGGCAAGGAAGGGTAGAGAGACAATGGGTGAAGCTTTAAATCATGGACTGACCAGTTATGGATTATGTGGGCTTCGTTGCTTTGTTTTTTGTAAGCTCTAAGGTAGTAATGATAGACTTGTAGCAACACTGACAAGCTCTTGGTTAGAATTAAGTGGCGGAGGAGGGGGGTGAAGATAGCAAACGGTGATAGGGAGTGTCAGTGAGGCGATAATGAGGGGGAGGAGAAGGGAGTTCTTGGGAGGAAGGGAGGAGGAGGAAGAGGAGGAGTAGGGGTAGGGTAGAGGTATGTGATAAAGGGCATGTGGAGGATTGAAGAGTGATGACCGTTACAGCAATAACCCAGAAATGAGTGATAAATACCGTAAGTGAAAGAGTGGAGTGGCTGCGTGGGGGATTTTCCAGCGTGTCGATGGTGTATGAAAGTGCAGGGAAAGATTTCTGTGTCTCTTCGACATCCCGACAATAAGGGGTCGGGAAGGAAAGGTTGTGGTTCAATTGGGTAGGGTACAGAAGGTGTTTTCTGTAACCCTTCACAGGCCCAACAGCCCAGCATGCGGATTGCCTATAATATGATACAGACAGGCTACAGTTCAATAAGGTAGAGTTGGCGTTTATAGTCTACCACCGGTAATTTATGATAGTCTACCTGTGCTTGGTTATGACTTTGCATGGGGTTCATGACTAAGCAGCCTTGAGCCTCATCTTGCTTCTGGCCATGCTGAGAGATTCTGAGTAGAGCACTTGCAGGAATGGCTGAGGTTGACTAACCATTGGCAACGAACATCAAACCTTTTTCTGAGCTCCCTTTCTCACTCTTCCGATCTGTTGCAATAAGAAACGTCGAAGTCGCGCTTCACCATTCCGCTCCCCCACCGTCATCGGTCACCAACTTCTCGCTACCGGGCGTTGATAAAGAATCTGCCTCGTCCTCTTTACCTAGCACTGCACCTGTTGCCCGAATCCCTATTATTTGGAGAAGGAAAAAAATAAAAAAATAAAAAAGCGGCGACCGCGCGGAGCTCATGGAACCCGTCTAACTCGCGCAGCTCTTTCTCCGTTCCCGCACCTGCGCACTTTACTATCCCGACACTCCCCAAATATAATTTCCTCCCCCACCACTCTTTTCTGCAGAGCCTCATCCGACGACATCTCGTCTCCTGACACCACCCCCCACACTCTCTTATCGACCGCTCACCCAACAACACAACAACCTTCATTCACTCCCTCACTGCTGATAATAGGAAAGAAAGCCCTAACCTATACCGGCTGCGATACACGCTTCCCCTGTTATAAACCCTGCTATTTGTGTGGACTGACCATGTCCACATCTACCTCTACCTCGAATGCTACCCCCTTACCGCCTAGAATTAAGCTTAATCCATCCGGTGCTTCCGGTTCTGGTCAGCGGACATATACTGGTAAACATCCTCTGCCTGGTCATAGCAGTCGCTCCAATGGTTCTGGCACAAGTGCGCGACCTCCGCCATTGCCTTCACCTACCCCTTCGGTTTCTGGCGGGAATGCTGGGAATGGGGGAGGGGCTAACGGTGTGAATGCAAACTCTGCCGGGACCAGGATATCGGAACGCCGGAGAACTAACAATAAGGCTGGAGGCCCCGGGAAGCTGAAAGGAGGAAGTGTTGATAATAGAGTAAAGGGAGCCGGGGGGGGTAATGAGACGGAGGGCGTTTCTCGACCGATAAAGGTAAGTAGAACATCTTCTTGATATATATGCGACATTTTATGTGAAGCGATTTCGGTTAATGTGTTGAATTTGCTGATTATGAGCTTGGGCCAGAACCTTCCAACAAAACCATACGTCAACACGACATCCGTAATTCTCCAGAAGTATCAAGGCCAACCCCCAAGTATAGTGTTACATTTACATCCCCAGCACTTCCGCTTTGATGGTCAGGACGGTGGATTTGGCTATGCGAGTCCAATGAGGGTGTGATATGTCCCTTTCATTGTGTTGAAATCGTTCTCGCGCCTTTGGTAGAAATTATTCCGAAGGGTATTAAAAGTTAACTATTATTTTTGTATAACCTAGGTAATACTGGAATGCTTACGGTCCGAAATAATACCGCACGAAGTAGTCGAAGAGTTTAGGGATGCTGGGACAAAGTTTTACGATGGTTGGTCTTGGGCCATATATTGTTGGCTGGTACACGGCTAACGGACCATTCCAGGCTGCTTGATTGTACAAATACATGACCACCGCTCCGCCTCAACGACATCCTCTTCGAAAGCAAACGATAATAAGGTCATTCCACACTCCATTCACAACTATAGTGAATCTCTCACCCCGTCACCTTTTGTCCCCTTTCCTAAGGAAAAGCTTGTCGCTCCCGATCGTGGTGCGGCTGGTGGACAATCTACGGTATCGCAGGGGCAAGCGGTCGGAAGTGACAGAAAGGATGCCTCTCTCGCTTCGGGGGCTAAGAAGGATAAAGAAGAAAAAGACTCCAAGGCAGAGAAAAAAATCAGAATCTTCACCACAGTTCTACATCCCACGCAATTGACCTTGCACGCAGATATGGCTGTTATGGCGTCAACACCAGTTCCATCACGGCTGAGTTCGTACTCGCGGCCGCAGCAGTCAAGTTCTACGCTTGCTACACCAACATCCGCTTCGATGCCCGTACCACCTACGCCAACTGGGTTGACTATCAACACATCTCCTGGGGCCCTGAGCACAAAGACAATGCTCAATGATAAGACTGCTCTGAATTTTGAGGCGACTACCCTATTAGCTACATCCCCGGCTTTGGTTCTTACCCCCGCCAAGGATCCTGAGCATGCACAAACGATTCTCCGCACGCTCAGGAATCCCCATAACTCATTTCCCATGCCTCCTCCCAAGTCCCGGAAGAGGACGACAGCTGAGCTTGCAGCAGACGAGGCGCAAGCTGTTCAAGAGGAAAGATTACTCCTTATTATGGATGAGCGCCATTCGGGACATACTTCTTTGGCTCCGGAGTCAGCTGCTGGTGATGGAGCTAGTGTTGGCAATGGGTTTGAGCCTGACTTTAAGAAGTTTAAGTTGATCGAAAGCATTCGGACTCGGTTAGAGGAGGAAAGGAAAGCAAAGATCGAGAAGGATAGACTGCAGCGACAAGAGATTGAGCAGCGCAACCGGGAAACCAGGAAACGAGAAGAGCTTGAGGCTACCCAGAGGCTGGCTGCAAGCCGAGCTTCTCAGCATGGCAGTCCTGTGTTGGCACAGGGACCGGTTGTTGGTGCCGCAACAACCGCGGCCCAAGTGAGTGGGACTACTGCCACTGCTCGCCCTGGAAGTTCTGGATCAGTGCAAAGCCAGTCAGGACAGCAGGTTAATAATTTGAGGTTACAACAGCAGCAGCACTTGCAGCGTCCCTCGGCACAGCAGCAGCAACAACAGCAGCAGGCCCAGCAGCAACAGGCCCAGACCCAGGCTCAAGCGCAGCAGCAGCAGCAGGCCCAACAGCAACAGCAACAGGCCCAAGCCCAAGCGCAGCAACAGCAGCAGCAGGCCCAACAGGCACAGCAAGCACAGCAGGCACAGCAAGCGCAGCAAGCACAGCAAGCACAACAAGCGCAGCAAGCACAGCAGGCCCAGCAAGCGCGGCAACAAGCGCAACAGCAAGCACAGCAGCAAGCGCAGCAGCAAGCACAGCAGCAGGCACAGCAGCAAGCACAGCAGCAGGCACAGCAACAGGCGCAACAGCAAGCACAGCAGCAGGCGCAACAGCAAGCACAGCAGCAGGCGCAACAGCAAGCGCAACACCCTGGTGGCCAACAACAGCAGCATGCTCAACAGACTGGCCAGCAGCCGATTGGTATGGCTCAACAGTCGCAAATGCAGCACCATCCTATGTCACAGCCAGGCACAAACGCAGCGGCAGTGGCTACAACTCAATACAACCATATGCAGCAACAACGGATGCTGTCTCAACAGCACGCCCAGCAGAATAGCCAGTCGCCAAGACCGCTCCACCAGTCACCACATCTTACCCAGCAATCACCGCATCTCGCTCAGCAATTACCACATCTCGCTCAACAATCATCTCACCTTCAGAATGGTTCGCCTCGCATGGCCCACCATGCTACTCTCCAACAGCCGCATATTCAACTTCAGATGCAGCAATTTCAACAACAGCAACAGCTCGCAGCCCAGCAGCTTCGGGGTGGAGGCATGAACAATACGAACGTAACCGGTGCACGAGCCACAATGATCGGGAGGACTGCAAACGCCGCCAGTCTTCGGCAAGGGCATCACGTCCGACAACAACTTCCGCAACAGCAAGAGCACCAGTTTCAAGATTTGGGCAACCTCAGGTGGTAATGGAATTGCGATGGGCGGAGGAGGGGTGCATTAGCTTCCTCCGGGAATGACTGGACAGATGCCTTCGGGGATGAACTAGAATATGATGCTTAGCATGGTCAATATAAGGAATGGCACTCAAGGGATGGGTAGAGGAGCGAGCAGGCCTAAACGGGGCCTTTTGTTGAAGGGGGTTGAGGTTGGAAGAGCACTTTATGGAGGAGCGCTTGTTATACTAGTTTTCTTCAGTTTACGTCCTTTGGGTTGGCTCTCTCATTCTGCGTTTGCTACTGAACCCCCCTCCCCCACTCTTTTTCTTCTTTTCATCATTGGTTTGGTTTAACATGCGGTTTTTAGTATTATTTCCTTTTCTGTCTTGTTGGGCGCGGGACGGTATTGTGTTATTTTGATTTTCCTTTGTTTCCTTTTTGTCCCTTTTCTTATATTGGGAGGCGTCTTTGTTAGGAAATCTCTGCGGTTTGTTCGTTCCGTTGATCCCTTTTCTTTGCTGGTTTATTTTTTAGTGCTGTTAGGGTATTTCTATTCCAATTTTTTGTTTCCCTTCCCTCCCTCTACTATCCCCATTTTACTTTCTGTTTTTTTCTCCTTCATTTCTTGGAAATAATTTGTTAGAGATCTGGGAAGGGGAGGGGGAATGGTGTTCACAGGGGTTCCTAACTAATGATTTGGAGCAGTGACGTATATACGTAATGACAAAGTATATATACCAGCATGAATTTTTTCTTCCTTTTTCTTTCTGAGTACGCTGGCGCTCGAGTATTATATAGGAAAGGCACAGCTAGCGATTTACTCCTTTCCTGAACCTTTCAGTCCGATTTTTTGGGCGATTCGGTGCTTCTCGCGGGGTTTAGGGGAGGGGGCTGGTGTGAGGGGGTAGTGCTGCTGCGATGCTATGCTATGCCCGCGTTGGAGAGGGAAGGGTGAAGAGAGGGAGGGCGTAAAGAGCTATCATTATTGCTATCATTATTGCTATCAGTATTGTTATTGCTACTGTTATCGAGCTGTTGCGGTTTCCCAATTGTGCCATTCCATTGTGCTCCCAATTGGTTGGCCCGTCCCACTCATTATAATACTGTATGCACTGGACCGAACAGATCAGTGCCCACGTCCACCGATCAATGCGCAGCGCAATTCTGATTGCAGGATCCACTGACTCACTCACAAGTCACGAGTCCTTGGATGTGATCGTCATTAGTGACCGGAGATTGTGTCCCGGATTAGGTTACCCACGTGCGCATCCATGTCCGCCGGCAAATTGCTTCAAGCCAACGAGGGTCCATCGTCCAGTCTAACCCCTGTTACAAACTCCGATATCGTCAGTAAAATGATCCGAGATGACCTGGCAATTAATCTACGAGTACCTCTCTCTTGAAAAAGCAAGTAAAGACACCTGTTGAGCCTTGCGAGTCTGGAAATACATTTATCCGAGGGCTAATTCTTTTGCATACGCAGGCGCACACTCTCCAGCATAGCCCCGCCACGCTGCGTGTTGACTTTTCTTCGGGTCTTTGAGTCACAGATCAGCCCTCGACATGGGATAGGGCTCACGTGCGAACGTGCAATAGTACGTGTTTTCGAGCATTAATCAGTGCCTGTAAATATCGCAACCGCGCGATAAATTAATTCCATAGAGTACAAGTGCGTGTGAGTGAGTGCGTGAGTCACAAGGAGCTGATTTTCGTGTAAAGTACCGAGCATGCATGAAAGTGCGTGGGACACGTAATGAGGAAGAAATGTTTTGCGTTATGTCTTTTTCAGCCTTTAAGGGCATGAGGTATAAGAATGGGAGGGTTTCGCTGTGCCATTGGGATTGAGAAGAGCAGAAAAGTATACAGTCATCTGGAAGAGGGAACGGGAGATAAAATGCCGAGAACGAGAACCCAAGATGAGGCCTGCAAGATTGTGGGTTTTCTCTTTATACACTTTTTTATTTTATTACACTTTTGCTGATTTTTTTGCGATAGAATGGTGTTAGACCGAGGGTTTATTTGTCCCGAGGGGATACATTGTCTGCGTCTTCGGATACGGATGGTGAGAGGTTTTTCATGAGTCGGGTTAAGAATCATTGTTTGTCCTCTCTTCCCTTGCTTAGTTTCTTGTCAGCTGCGTGATGGTTAATTTTGGTTGTGGTCACGGTAGATCGCTGCGAATGCCCTGGCTGGAGTAGTTCCAGCAGCGTACAGGTCGCGCGCACATGCCATCACCTGAGAGCCCTCCTCGGCGACGAGTACGAGATTGCGCGATTGGGTGTTCACGGAGTTAAGATTGATGGTGGTGGCGGGGGTAAGACTTTGGTGGTTGGGTCGAGGCTTAAGAAGAAGTCTGCCCCCGCCGACGAGGAGGAGGATGAAGATGACTTCAAGCCTGAGAAGAAATCCCTAAAAAAGCGCGATAGAAAAGGAAAGCAAGTTGCTGAAGAAGAAGACGCTGAAATTAGTGGGGAAGGGGGGGAAGATGTGGAGGAAGAGGTGGAGGAGGAGGAAGAAGAAAAGCCGGCCAAACGCCCCCGCCGTGCGGTAGCCACCGTTGCCGGTAAGCAGGCCACTGTAGCAAAGAAGGCAAAAGACACTTCGTTTAAGCCCCTACTCGCCGAGAAATGGGACCTGGAAAAGGGCCGTGATCCTACGGGATGGCACATGTCTGAAAAGCTGGATGGCGTGCGCGCGTGCTGGGATGGAGAGACTTTCCGCAGCAGGGAGGGGAATCCGTTCTATGCACCAGCGTGGTTTACGAAGAGGATGCCGAAAGATGTATGTTCCCCCATCATAATATAATATTTCCCTAATACTAGCGGCCGTGTCCTAATAATGGTGGGTATGATAGATAACACTCGACGGCGAACTTTTCACCACCCGCGGCGGCTTCCAGGACTGCGTTTCAATCGTGCGCACACAGAATAAACCCGACGCTTGGAAATTCAGCGTTACATACCAAATCTTCGACATACCGAGTATGGGGCACAAGCCCTTTGAAGAACGCATCGCATACCTCAAAGACCTCTTCGGGAGACTGCGCATTCGCTGGGTGCACGTTCTCGAGCATACAATATGCAAAGGTCGAAGACACCTTTTTGATACTTTAGACAAAGTCGTATGTTTCACCCTCCCTCCTTTCTACACAGTCCTCATCTAACACCCTCCCTCCACACAGACAGCCAACAAAGGCGAAGGGCTCATGCTCCGCGAGCCCGGGTCACTATACATCAACAACCGTTCCAAAACGCTCATGAAGGTCAAGCGTTTCTTTGACGCCGACGCTATCGTCCGCGGCCACGAGCGCGGTTCCGGCAAGAACTCGAATTGCACCGGCGCACTCCGCGTTGAGATGCTCGACGATAACGGCGAGCCCACCGGTAAGTTCTTTAAGATTGGCACCGGGCTCACGGATAAGCAGCGGCAGAACCCGCCGAAGATTGGCATCATTGTGATCTATAGGTTTCAGGAGCTATCACGAGATGGGAACCCTAGGTTTCCGGCGTTTGTGGGGGAGAGGGCTGATTAGGATTTTAGGTTTTTCTCTTTTCTTTTTCGGATATGGGGGTATTGGGAATGGGGAATTTGGGATATTGGATTTATTCTGAATGATTACGATTCTCTTTTCTTTTTTTTTTTGGAAGGATTGGATTATGTGTCTTCTTGGTTGGCAGGTCGAACGGACTGGATAGTAGGGTTGGCTTGGATTATGATATACTCATGATTTAATGAATTGATTATACCCGCCATTGAACACACCTGAGCTGCTATCATATGAGCGCAAGACCGACCTTTCCTCAGCCCTCCCCCTGGCCAGGATCGGCAGAGAGCAAAGGGAAGACCCCGCGATGTGAACCATAGCATCGCCCGCAACTATCCAACCTACTCGAGTATCATACACCTATGATACTGGGGTATGAAGGTTGTGATGAGGCGGACGGACAGGGGAGCTTGGTTGCTAAAGATTCCCCTCCTGGTGCCACTCCTACCATACCTAATTAGATTGTTTTCGTCAAGGAGTCTCGGACGCCTTGACCCCCGAACACTTTTCCGTCCCATAACTGACCTCCATACGCTGACTTTCATGCATCCGCAATGACCTGCAAGTAGTAGCACGGCCCTTTTGTGCAATCGAAATCGCACTAAACCCCGCAACCCCCCCCCAAAAAAAAGTGAAAAATACGCCTCGAGGTTCAAGATTCTCGTCAAATGTCGCACAGGGGCCCCCACCCGGCTGGTAATACCAGTCGAGTGATATTTCGTGATAAGAACTCGAATACCTTGACCCAACTCCTTCTAGTTACGTGATCCTACTAATATAGGGTAGCAAGTGAGTTCCATAACCTGTCCCTCTTCCTTTTGGCATTGCAGATACTAATAAGAAAAGGTTGGGCGGAGGGGGGGGGACCTGGTGCTATTCTGTATCGTATTCATGGGGATGTGGGTGGTCATGATGGGATGAATGTTTCATCGGATATCGATGGACGGGACGTAGGGGTCTAAAGAGGGTTGCTGCGGGCCGGGTTTATGGGGTTGGTTGGAGGGGGAGAGTACGGTACTTGTTTCATTTGTTTGGCTATCTGTTTGTGTGTATGGTGATATTTTTAATTATGCGCTGTGGTACTTGTCTGTAATGATTATCTGATTTTCTGATAGTAGGTTCGATCGTGTGTCTCCCCTCTGCCTAGACTTAACCGCCTGAGGACAGCGATGCATCACTAGCACGCTAGGCGGAACCGATTGAAGGAGAGAAGAATACCAAAAAGATGGGAAAAAGGGGGTCCGCAGGTGTCTCTGGATGCCTATACGGAAGGATGCTCTTAGTGCCCACTGACTAAAATGGCCTTTTTCTTAGCAATCCCCCAAGGCGATGGTGTGGTATTGATAAGGCATGCTTTGGTTAAGGTTTGCTCAGAATTGAGCGTTAAGATAAATCGGTTCATTTTTACCTCATCTATCAAACGTAATATTTATTACTGATGTGTGACGGGCGTGTTCCAATGCTCAACCCGAAAGGTTCTCAGAATTACAAAGAAAAACCACAACATCCTCCAGGGAGTGGTGGATCCTGAAGTGAGATTTGGCGAGGAGAAGCGGGCCGTGCTCAATGAATGGGTTGGAACAAATGCTAAGCGCTATTGGCCACCACCCGGAATCCCTCTTGCCCCTTCCTGGTGGGACAGATGATGTTATTATCGATGAACCCCGAATTCCTGCATTGGTTCCGTTGATCGAAAATGCTCGCCCGGAGTTCAAAATTATCTACCGTTTTCACACCGAAGTCTGCAGTGACTGTGGAGAGGCTTGGAAGCACTCATGAACAGATATGGTAGTGGATGTAGAGTTGGATAAAGTAAACCGGTGTCTTTGCCGGTCACCCAGTGGACAATTTTTTTCCTCACGATGTTCCATTGGCCATGGTTGGGCGGATGCCCACTTGCGCTGATTGGTGTGTTTCCCTTGCCTCTGAATTATTTTATAGAACTGACAAATATAGGCTTGATTGGTGTAATAAACCTTTGTGCGCGTGGGATTTAAGATTTTGGCATCATGATCTACAGAATTTATGCAATGAGCTGGGATGTGAGCTGATCTTGCAAACACCTGCTTCTTCGTGGTAAAATTACCAACTCAGTTGGTGCCTCCAGGGAATTAACCTCTGTATTCTGCAAGGGGGTATATCACTCAAATTACGTAATTTGACCCGAGCAAGGGCATTCCAGATATCATTGAATCTTATTGTACCATAAATTGTGTGTCCGTGTAATCAGAGATGTCCCCGAAAGGCTTGCTCCGTGGTTGCTGAAGTAAGTTGAACACTATTTTATTTTGGGGCAACCACTCTCTGAATAAATTTTGTGTTGACGGTTTTTAGTTCTGGAGACAGGGCTATCGGTGATTCGGGTGCGTCAATGGTTTTTGTTGGAACTATGGAGTTGCTTGCTCATTTGGGATGTGCTGTGGTCGCAAAAGATGTGGTAGCCATGGGAATTGGGTTAAGCGGGAATGGTAAGTTTCTCCTCAGATGATTTATGAATGCAAATCTGAGTTTCAATCTGGTGTTGAACTCAACGACAACTACTACAAAGCGGGCGGCGTAACTGCAATTGTGTGAAGGATTTGAAGCTAAGGTGTCCGAAGCACTGCGAGATGGTCTTATGGATGGGTATAGCAGTCAATGATTGACTCGCGGAGGGATAGAGAAAAACTAAAGGACTATGTGGGAGCTGTGGCAGGGCATGGACAAGAACGTAAGGTAAGGAAAAACAACTTTGTTCGTCTCTCCTCTAAACTAACGGTAAAGATAGGTGTATAAGTAAAACATAAACAATGTATCCTGACCATTCCATGAATCACCACACCTATCCGTATCTCTCCAAGCATGCTACCCTTTCCTCCATACACTCCTGTGGTAAAAAAAAGGAAAGACATGCCTGGAGAATCTCCTGTCAATCTCTGAACCTCCACGCCAATCCATTGAACCTTTGAGCTCTCCGCCAGACTCCCGAAACCTCCACAATCTATCTCAATTAACCAACATCGATCTAGAACCTTCAACGGATGGAAGGCCTGTAGTTGCCATAGGGACGGTGGCATTCCTTTGCAGACTCGGCATAGAAAAATCTGGATTTCTTGTGGAAGTTGGAACCGTTTGTAAAGTTGCTTGCTGCCTTTGCCTTACGACTAAAATTGGGAGAGGCCAGGTTCTCGAGCCTAAAGGGAGATGGGTCACCGACATAGCGCGGGAAGAAGCTGGCCAATACAATGAGCTTAGTGAGCCGGTACTCCAATGTGGAGGAATAGGTATTAAGGGTGAAAACTTGGGGGGTTGGAAGCTAGTATTGTATCGTACGCTATGCAGGCTTGCGGTATGAATACCACATAGGAACGAGTGATACCTCGTGATGCTGGTTTTACCACTGGTTGGTGGGGAGCCAGTTTGTCCCTAGCGGACTGGAGATAAGATGGCTAGAAGACAGGAATGCAGTACAAGGATGAAGAGCTGGTGTAGGGGTGGTGAACTGGTGTTGATGTTGCATGTGATAATCTTTTGTAGTCCCTGGGTCGATTGGGAGGTTTTTCCGTATTCGGGGGATTTGTTATTGTCGATAGGGTGATGCCCGTGGATAGGCGCCTGTGAATACAGTACATTAATAAAGAAGTTCCCGCTATCCACAAGGATTTTTTCTCTCAAACTTTGCCTCACTGTAGTTCCAGATATTCATTCATATCACTGACTTTGCACAGCCAACTGCTGACCCAAACTCCTGTCTAGCTAGTTGTGTAGACAATCCCCCTCTTGGGGTTAGTGCACCTAGGTTGAGACTTCTCTGCTGTGTGCGCTGAAGATTTCTTGATAAATTTGCTTAAAATAGGGGGGGGGGGTTACCTCCTACCTGCTGACCGGGGTGGAAAACCGGATGCTTTAGTTGTTATATATTCTTTCTTTTATTAAATTTTGGTCAATATCTACAGGCCGGTTCAGGATATTAAAAAAACATATACTGGAGCGTAAGGGTATTTGGAGCCCTGTTACACAAGTCTCCTCCCCCGTCACCAATTCACCTTTTATTGCCATGGTAAGAAGGCGACAGTACACCCCTTCCAGCCTCAAGTGCAATCACCAGAGGTCACTCAGAGCACACTTCACCGCCAGGAACGGAGATTTCGAGAGTCGGATGTTCGATTTCTAATGGTCACCAGGCAGCCCCCTGAAATGCAAGTAAGAATACAAAGAAGTAGCCGCAAAGTAGCCCAAAGCAAAGAATTCCCCCACCTCATAACCACGGGATCGGCTAAAATGGGGATTCCATACCATTTTGCTTAAATCTACATTTTATTTCGGGCACTGCTTCCGCCAATTTGTTTTGAATTCTGCCTTTTTACATTTACCCTTCAATTTTCTGGTGGCACCATTGGTGAGCTACTTATGAGCGGTGGAAATTTTAACCCCACAGGTCTCGGATTCGGCATATTGGAGAAGAGTCAACGAGGAGACAAAAGATCCGCTGCAGGTAGGACAACTGCCCACCGTCCAGTAAGTAAATATATGAATAGATAAAATGCAGAGAGTGTTACCAAAAAGACCACTAATCGTAAATATTACTCTCAAAGATGGGCTTTAAGCCCGGTAGCATGATGGGACTTCTGCTTGTACTTGGGGTGGGGATAAACATAGGCTCCAAGCATCAAAATCCCGCCAAGCGCAAGCTAGAGTAACTAGATCTAAATTTATATAAATCATGGCAACCTAGATAGCCGGCACCATGAAATCAATCCTTTGTGGAAGCCATAAACATGGTCGCAATCGGTAATACCGAGGATTTCGACTAAGTCTTGAGGTATACAAGGTTCTCCCACTCATGAATAGAGGCTCTCCCACAATATACACAGCCCTACCATTAAGAACAAAATTAAATTAACTATTTCTCCCATCAAAGTCTGGTGCCCCAGATAAATCAAGGGCGCTTTACGCGATGCGAACGACGAGCTGGTTAGTTGTCAAACTGCGATAATTATTAAAAAGGGCCCCACTGCTTCCCACTCAATAGCACGCCCTGAGGTACGTACCCCACACCAATGTTCCCCCGCAGAACCGATTAGACTCGAACAAAAGGGTTTAGAACCTTTGACGCTTGGGTTGCCATAGTAAACCCTTTTAATCTTCCAAAAAACTGCAGGGATAACCTGCCAGCCAACTCGAAACTACGAGCTAACGTTCTATTTGGCGTGTCCAATAATTGGAATGCTCTTGCTTGCAACGATAGAAGGCCCTATACCGGCACCTCAGCGATCTGACTATTACTAACACAGCATAACATATTATAGGAGAGCACCTACAAGTTGTGGTCCGTATCCACCAATGACCTTTTTCCACTCTGGAGAGACCTGCAATATTTCTTCTGGAATACTTTCCGTTCATCTAGCCATCTGTTTCAGCAAGGAACCCAGGATCCTGGTGTCAGACTGCTCCTTTAGTGCTGCAAAATCAAAGTAAAAATATATGACGGCCATGTTTTGTTCTCTGGCTTGATCACACAGCAATCCATTACCAGCAAGCTGTTGTTGCAGCTAGTTAGTACGGGCCCTTATCCTTCGCCGCGAGAGAGTAATCCATATTACCTGATATGATAAACGTCTTTGCCGACCCCCGGATTTCCATAGCAAAACAGAATTGTGTTATCATCTTGGACCTTCCCCCCACCCGATGAATGCCATCTTCCGAAATTCCTCGGTTGTCCATTCCCCGGCATCATCGGCACGGCGCTCTTGAGTATCCCAATGAGGTTGTTCGGGCACTACCGGTTGGGGTGACGGCTAAGCTAGGAGTTGAGACCGATGATCGGCAGCGGTGCAGTTCCACACGTTATCATTATTCGAATTCCTCTATCACTCCAGCAGTTAGTTTTATCATTGACCGTATATTGCGAGCTCTTCCGGTCTTTACTGCTTGTACCGTTGTATGGGAGGAATTATTGAGTATGGTCGGCTAATATTCCTCGCCATGGAACAAAAGCCGGAGTATGCTAGTGGTATGGTTGGATTGCAGGCACTTGCGCCACTGCGTCATACTGAAGAATGCAGGAGATCCTTTAGGAGTCCTCGAGTATGAAACAATGTAGGGAGGGTTGAGATACTAGGGGGGTGATACTTCATACTGGGGCAGTACAGCAGTCGATAGAAATTCTTGGGAAGTCCATGGCTGCCGTACCCGTTTGTCCTCAAAGGCCCATATCTAGGATATGGTTGAAAAGATCCCCTCCGGGGGAGGATTCAGCATCCGAGTAGTAATTTCACCGCTCTCTCACATCCACGCGAAGTGGCTCACGAGAATGATGCTCGAGCAGATTCTAGCCATTGCTGAGTAAGCTTTACTGAATATATCGGGATGAATGGAAAGGTACTCCTAGAGACTAAAGTGGATCAATCGCGCAGTTGCCGCCTCCTTATTTATAGTAATAAGTCCTTGACAGCAGTTCACTAGTGTCGACATCGAAGGGATGTTGTCAACATGGAAATCTGTAGAACCTAGCTGAACTGCTAGGGCATGGCAAAATTCATCCTCTTGTAGCAGCCATTCCGCATGACTGATCCACATCAACGCTGCCATCCCGAGTCTCGATTTGTCCCCATCTTGTGCCATTACCCGTTCGATCGTTGGACCATAAACATCTCCCAACTCCAATCCATCTGTCATCTTGCTTAGCTTTTCTCGCCCTCGGGAGATTGTTGATTTGTGTAAGATTGCATCGATGTTTAAAGAAACGAGTAGAAACCTAGATATGCATCGATTAGCGGACAGTGTAGGGGAGATACCCAATATTATTCCCTGCGCACATTTCCGACATAATTGCGGAAATCTTGTCTAGAATTTCTGCTTCTAAACTTTCGTCCATCACATCTGGGGTTTCGTCCTCGCTAAACCTAACACGAAGGTATTCGATGATATCATCCTTGCTGGGACACAAAGATACACTTGTCACTCGCCAAGCGAGACGCTTTTCGACCTCAGCTTGGATATGAGGTCTTCCGATGATGAATATCCGTGTGCCTGGTGACTTTTCCAGGATTTGTTGGAGTGAATTAAGGAGGTTGACACGATGCACCGCCGCACACTAGTCCAGAGTGTCAATGCATACAAATGTGCGAAGTGAGGACGTAATGGTCTGTAACATCTTCACTATACCCGGAAATTGCGGCCCGATAGCCATTCTCTGCTCTTGAGAAATCCTTGATATATCCTCTGGGATCTTTTCTATCCCGCCGACGATCTGTTTCAGCAAGGAACCTAGCATAGCGGTCGCAGACTATTCCTTCCAGGCGGCGAAGTCAAAGTACTGTAAAAACAAGTAATGGCTGTGTTTTTCCCTCTGGCCTGGTCGCGCAATCTGTCCACTACCAGCGAACTAGTATCGCGGCCGGTTGGCACCGACTCTAATAAATGTCTTTCCAACCCCCAGGGCTCCATAGCAAAACAACACTGCCTTATCGCCTTCACTTTCACCACTTCCCGCATGCCAGCAGAGAGAAGTGAAGTGATTGAAGTGAACAAGATTAATACCGGTAGGTATTGAACAAGTTAAGGAGTTGTAAAAGAGCTGGTAAGAAGAAAGGAAAGGAAAGGAAAGAAAGATGCGACTGGGAGAGGTACGGTAAGGAAGATGGGACGGTGGAGGGCTGTTGAAAATTGTGGAGTTGAGAATCGATGTAATGATCGGACTGTAGAAGAGTAATTCGTGTTGAAGCGATTATGGAGGTGTGGGGTAGCTTGGAAAAATAATGAAAGGCAAAGCAAAGTGAAGGAGGTAGGAAATTTTACGTGAGGAAAACTTCCAACTCTCGCGTGAAAGTTTGCCTAGAACCTACGATATAACTGCTGGCGTATCCCAAGCCCTCCCATGCTACTGCTATTTGAATATATTTTCTCCCCCTTATTTCCTCTGCCTTCCATCTCCACGCAACCTCTATTGCTGGCATTCAAATAAACCTTTTTTTCACCAACGAATACGAGTCTCTAAAACTTTCATTTTTATCAACCAAACTTCACCCACCCCCCACCAAAGTCTTTACCTGCACACAGTTCCCCTCCCAGCCCTACCTACCGTCATCACCGCTCCCCCGTGCCCTGCTCACACCAGTCAAGTTAAAATGCCAAAGGCAGAGTTGCTTACGAACACCCCATACTTCTTTTTCAACCAGTGTACTAAGTATTGTGTAGATGGTGGCTAGCATCCTGTATTGCGACGTCGACGGCAATACCGACCCAAAGGAGGAACTAGTCGCGGTAAAGGATTCCCTAACCACGGCAGTTGAATCTGTCAAAATGGTCCGAGTTAGAACGTTTGCACGACCAAAAACAGCGTACGGGAATGCATCTGGCACTTCCATTCTTCAGTCCATCGAAAGCATGAGAAGTGAAATGCGCGAGGCACAAAAAAAACAGAACCCAATGAAATGGCTATGCGAGATGAAATAGACAAGCTACGAACCAAAGCTGGAGTCCATGAGCGGGAATGCACGACCAATACTCAAGATTTTGGGGAACGCATCAGAGTTCTCACTCAAGAATCCAATATCCTACGTCCGTTAAGAAACATTGCGCTCGACATAAGAAAACGTTTTTTTGCTACATCTTGAGGTGGCGTGGCAGACGAGCAGACCCCCCGGATGAAATAATAATTCAAGCCGGCAACCACCGAGTTCATGAAGGAGATGTTATAACTGATGTTTCTCTGTTTCGCAATTGTCTGATGACTTCCCATGCTACTTTCACGAGATTATACCGTTTGCCGTGGAGAGAGGTTGAAGGACTCTTAGGTACTGTACACTAATTAATTACCCTTCTCATCTATTACTGACGAAATGTCTTTACGGAGGTATAGCCCCTAAATATTGTATATTTTACTAGCAAGGGGTGTTCGGCTAGCACAGGGAGAAGCATGGAATCGGGTATGATGACTACGTAATTGAGTATGATGACTGCCCTATTCATTCCCTGACTCCTGCTAGCGGAACACCGATCCTTCGTAAAATATACAATACTTAAGGACTATAAATTTACCTCCTTAGTCTACAGGCACATGGTGTTTGTGATGAATAAGAGAGCCACCCGACTCGCAAACGCCGAGAACGCCGAGGAATCTAATCGCATGTCGTCTAAGAGTGTAGAAGCGGATTTCCGCATATTGCTTAAGTGGTCCAAACGTTGCGCTCCGGCGGAACTAGCTCGGTTTAGGCAGGATGAGCGTGGGGCAAATTATCACAAAGGTGTATTTTTAAGAATTCAGAGATGTTACTGTGGCGAGGAGCGGTGTGGCTCCACATTGATTAATAATGACAAACTCTTCTCCCCTCTATTTATCTACTGCTTGTAAACCAATTTAACCTCCTAACTTAACCGAAATATTTTAATCCAGCTTACTCGACAATCCCCAAAACTAAATTATCTAAATTCTAAGCTAGTCCAGACTCTTTAAATCAGACCCGCTCCCGATCTCCAAGGCACACTGGTTTCCCAATATTCAGCCTTTTATTCCACGGTCTACGGGAAACGTGACCCTTCGGACCGCGCTAAATACCTCGCACCGAAGCTGCTTGATGACTAGGGCAACCACCTACCCGGCTGGAATCCTCCTATCGTAGATATCGTGGACCTTTGGGGGAGGGGGTGCCCGTAAGCTAGGGTCTTGAGTCGGTGATTAGAAAAGGGAAACAAATGGGGTTTCGGTTGTGCAAGATTGGATAAAGGGGTATAGATTATACTAGGCCGTGAAAGGACGCCATGGGCTATAGACCCGTATTATAAGCGTAGAACAGAGGAGTACGATATTGTGGTGCAAAATTTATCTAGTTCCAAGTCTAGCTGCGCCAGTAGAAAAACAGACCCTCGTATGAGAGGCAACTTTATCCGAGTGATCTTCTATGACGACAAATACAACAGCCCCATGGAATCATAGTAGCATCCTGCAAACAGATAAAGTCTAATACGAAAAGCCAAAGCATATCATATATTACTCAAAAGGAATAACTGACCGGGTATCATACCGCAACAAAAAAAGAAAGCAACGCTAGAACTCTATACCCAAAAATCCCCCCCTCACCCCAGGCATTATCACGTTTTATGATAATTATCCACCCCAACGCTACCCACTGTTTTTACCTAACCCTCTGGTTCCCAGGCGGCAGTATTGAGGCTAGCCCTATTCTCGGAAGAGGTATCATAGTTTGTCTCAAGTAACGACGAAAAACGACGGCAGCGAAACGGCTAGGTGACGAAGGGCGAAATGGCGAAGTGAAGAAATGCCAAATGAAACGGACCGAGATGACGATTAGTCGCTCTGCAGAACTATGACTTATATCACCAAGACAAGGCTTTGGAAGAGAAAGGAAGTTCACTCTCATTCCAACACTCTCCCCCACCCCCCCTCTTCTCCCACCATGCGATTTTACTTCGTAGGATCATTTCTATAGTGAACCGTCTCATCTGGAACTCTGACCAGAGCCACAGATTCTCCAACCTGGGGGATGACCATTATCTCCTCGAGACCCAAGAGTGAAGCCGTTTAGCCCCTGCTTCGGCGGCGGTGGTGATGATCTTAACCCAAATTCCCGTTATCTTTTACTCTTCGGGGTATGATAGATGGTGAGGGTGGGCCTTGATGGAAGTCTGGCAGGTTCTACAATAACAAAATTATTATGATAATAATAGTATTATTGTTATGCTTTATATTTTAGTGTAGCCAGTCAGCGTTTGTAGAATCGCTTAGGAATACTTGACGGATTGGGCAACTGAACACACCTCGGCACGGATTATCATACTGAGGGGAAATGACAGTTTGCCGTAAATTTATCCCGAAAACTGTAGGAAGAGAGTTGACCCCAATGCCGTGAGTTTGCGGGTCGCTTACACTGAATAAGACCCGCGAAAAGTGCCTTGCGATGGTGGTTTGTAGAAACCGGCTCCACAGAAAGGCTTGATACCCAACCGTAAAGATGATATTGGTGGAATCAAACAACACCGCCAGAGGAACGGGCAGTAGAGTTGAACCACCCGACAAGCTATTGGCGGACTCACCCGAAGGCCTCCATAAAAAATGGGGAGAGGCTTAGGATCTGTCGAAGACGGATCTTGTCGGGATATTTCACTCAAGGGAATTTCTACTTTAGGATTCACACAAGTGGTATGAATCCCATAGTTATCCAGGTTTCTTATTTGGTAAATCTCCTATTCGATTCGTTAACACGAACCACTCTCAAAGTCTCATTCGCGGATTCCATGAACTCGTTCTTGCCAAAATGAATCACTTCCTCAAGAAATTGCCGCTATTGCATGCGAAGCGCTGCTGGATCAGATTTCCATTTCTCTGGTGACCACGAGCCCCGGCACTCGACACAACCCGCATCAGCAAGCAAGCCTTTTTCAGTTAGGTAAAGATATCTCTTGCTCTTGCCTGTAGGATTTCAGGGCGCAGTGACAGGTTGGAGACTTTCGGAGCAGATGGTGAAGATGGCTGCCCTCTAGCTTGGTTTGAACGTCATACTCAGTATTGTAGATATGTACAGTAGGTAGACGAGGAACAAGGTATCTGGCGTAATGCGCCACGTCGTCAAGGTGGGATATACCGCAAGTACTCAAATAGAAGAAAAATGTGTGTGCTACTTTTGTCTAGTATAAGCTGAGGGCCGAGTTTTCAGTGTTCTCCCCTCGCGTAGCCGAGAAGGGGAATTCTAACCTCGTAGTACATTTTTTCTTTCCATTCGGGTACTAACGGTATATGTACCGTTCACGCATCTCTTAGTCAGGCTGTTCACTTGAACAACGGTCTTTCGACCTAAGACAAACTTTCAATTCCGAACACCAAACCAGACTGGACACGAGTGATTGTTCATGACTGCCGTATTGCCCTGAGAGTGTTATCATAGAAAAAAAAAAGTGAGGGTTGGTTACCGGTGCAAATGTTATGGGGGAAGCGACCGAAAAAGAGTTTTTGCGGGTTTAAGAGATCTTGTGAAAGTTTTTTCGACCCATCTAATGAGAAAGATCACCTTTGTATCCTCTAAATTACTAATACTATTTGCCCTTTGGGATTTGTCTGTCGGTTGTGGTGCTCTTGCTTTGGTGTCATTACTTATGGTCAGACTGCTGCACTTGGTAACCTGGCCACTGGTCTACGGAGCCACAGCCTATATGTTTTGCATGTTTTGCACTTTCCGCTAGCAGGAGTTGTTGCACTAGCAGTAGCAGTGGAGTGCATTTGGTATTATTACACAAGTAGAGCGCTCAGAAAAAAAAAAACAAGACGGCTGTTGCCGAATGTTTCCTATATGTGCAGAGCCAGGATTAGGGACTGGCCTTCACTCAAAGAAGTAGTGTAAGTGCAGTTTGGTGTGAAATATTATGAAATGTTAGGAGTGGTAGGAGAGGAGTTTTCTTTCCTTTAACAAGTAGTAGTATGTGAAGTCATAAATCATATATGATGGCTTACTGGTCATATGTTACAAACCTGTTATGGTTTGTAAAGGATTTCATATATTAGAGTTTTGATTAATGACTTATTTGAGTCATATGATATTATGAATGTTCTTTGTACACATGTATAATATGTTCGCAAAGTGCTAATCACATTTCGGAATAAGGTACGATAGTTGACAGATGGCCTGCTCTACCTTGAGGTGCTCATTATTCCGGGTACAAATCTGATATATACTGTTTGGATGGCAGT